TACTGGAAGGGATATATTTTCCTTGGAATAATCCCAATACCAAGAAAGTTGTTCTATCTTCTAGAAAAGATTTTAAAAATTTTCTAACCCACCCTGAAACTCTTTTCTCTCTTAGGTTATGCAGTAACCTTTCGTGAGACACATTGTCGAAAGCACCGGATATATCCAGACTGAGAAGGGAGGCCACTCGCTTCTTATCTTTACCCCAGATTGTAAAAATCTATTCTGTGAAAACCTCCACTCCGGGAGTGGACCGTTGTGGTCGAGCACCCATCTGATTTTCGGAAAAAGGGTTGTAAGATTCGGCTGCCTTAGAGAGACGATTTGCCACGAGCTTTGCTAGGAGCTTAACTATGGTGTTAAGTTGTGCGATCGGTCTATACGCTTTTGGAGTGTCGTAGTTTGGGTTCTGAGGCTTTTTCAAGACTATAGCGGTAGATTCCTTGAACTCTCTTGGACGAAATCCTATTACAAGATAGGTATTGAATAAGACCGTAAGTATTTTGCTTAGAGACTTCCTATACTACTTTAAAACTTGATTCGGTATTCTATCCGGTCCTGAGGCTTTATCCTTGGGTAGTGAACCTGTTACTTGTTTGATTTCCTCCTCGGTTATTTTGGTTGATATTGTCTCGATCGCCTCGGGATATTCTGTGTTGGTAATGTCGCGGGTGTCTGCCTGTGAGAGTTGAGGGATGAAGTGACAGGCCATGGTTGTGTCTTTCTCCTTATTTTCTTTGGCGGTGTTTCCCTTCGCGTCCTTGAAGTCAGGTATCAGAGTGGACCTACTTATTCCTTCGTCGCTCTTCTTAGCCAATCTCGCTAGTTTCCACATTTTGATTGGGTCTTTTCTTATCTTTGAAACGAGAGCTCTCTTTCAGTGTTATAGCTAGATAGGCTGCATACACTTAATGATTTTTAAAAAAAAGAGAGCTCTCTAGCCTAAGGTTTTGGCTTTATTTATGTGTCTTTTCTTCTGGCATTATTCGGATTATTAATCCTCACAGGTTAGGCCAGGGTTGAAGATGTCAATGAGAGCTCAGCCCTTCATAGTAAAGTGAGGAGAGTAGGTATCGAAATAAGGAGGCGTGCAGATCTTATCAATTAAAGCTCGTAGATGGAGCTATTCAGACTCGTAGCACATATATTGGCTAGCTTTATTGTGTTGCGAGAGCGTTCTACAGCGCTTATTTTTTTTCTTCTAGAGGGCCGATTCGGTCTCAAGGAGTTTGATGTGGCGATATTTCTACAGGGTACGAAATGAATTAGTCAGTGGATTAGAGATCAAACGACAATATCTGAGGCGGACCTTCACTGTGAGAAGAAGACCCATAGGAAGTAATGCGGTGCAATGGTCTTCCAAAGAAGAGATGGGGTTTAGAAGTAAAAGTATATTTATTTTCAGAAGACGTTGCGTGAGGTCTGAATATCCTAATACTAAGTTTTCTTATATACCTAATTCCATCCAACTACCCATCATACTTTCCATAATATCATGATTTCCATGAGGTCATAATTCCTACAATATCATACCCTCCCCAAATCGAGGATTTCGTGTGAAATCAATTAAATGACGTTCTAAATACACAAGAAATTTTAGTCCCATATAGATGACGTTAAGACAAAGAGAATTACAGGATGTTGTGTTGTATTGTATTTGTTTATTGTCCTGTGAAGTCTATGACCGTGTAAGGACATGTAGGTATTTTCTGCCTATAGGCCGGGAGTATCTATTCCTCGGGTAGTGCACTCCCCCCTATGCCTCCTTCACGACTTATTTCCAGAAGTAATACCCCCACAGGTCTTCATTCGATTACACACCAAGAGGAGCTGTTATCCCGTCAATATCTCCCCTCTCCAGCAGACGAAACGATGGCCATTTGCGGGTGTGTAGCTGCAGGGAATAGTCTCAAAACCCACTGGGCGCGGGGCTCTCCTATGACGAAGAGGCCGGCCAGCCGGGCGCGGTAGACCTGTGTATACCTAAGAGTGTCTCTCAACCTTCCTAGCCTCCTCCTTATCCTCCCTTGATTCATGCCGCAGGACAAATCGAAGGTCGTGAAAGGATGTCAGAAAAGTCTTGGTCGAGAGTGACTGTCGTGAAGGAGCCTAGCCTAGCATCCAATAGTCGTTACGGACATGGGGTCATCGAGTAACTTTTGTATTTTAGATGCCCTCCTGGCTAGTAGATTCGGAAGTTAAGATTAGTAGGGACGATATTGTAGACGAGTCGAAATCTGCTTTTCTTGAGGGCGGAAGGGTCTTTTACTTTGCTTTCGTGGGCTTTTTGTTCATCCGTCGGTGGGTAGCACATGTTGTGATATAACGAGGGCTTCTCTAACTACCGTTGTAGCGTTTAGTACCGCATTATCTTTCATCATTCCCAGCATCATTATCGTCGTCTTTGTCATCTTGTGAGTTATCGGAAGCGTATCTTTGACGGAGGAGGGGATAGCTCAGCTCAAAGTTGAAAAGGTGTTACTCAATCTCGGTTCTGTAGACTCTACAGTGAGAGCTGGAGGTTCGTAGGGGACACCACTGACAGGTGTTGAGAATAGTCCCCCGTTACAGGATGTTGCTTGACTCAAATATGAAGTCCGAAGACAGTGTATCTTCATCTCTACTATGAATAACTCATCATAATCGTTCAATCTGTGAAATTTGGTGACCCACATTTACTGTTGCCCTGCTAGACGCAGAGTTCCATGGCGAGATTTTCCCAATCAGACACGACCAGATAACTCTTGCAAAAAGCTCGAAATAGACTGCCCTTCACACATCGCGGATAGTTGTCGGAGGAATACTGTTGCGCTACGGTTATTTTAGGTTTACCTGAATTTACTCATAACATGACTCGGGTCGGAGAAGTTAATGCTAATACGTGATGCGTATCAAGGAAAATATCATTTTGTTCGGATTTTACATAACTCATACTTTGAATTGGGATTACATTTATGTTTCCGATGATATTCTCATCTTATCTGTCCTGAGCACGGTTTGGTATGTTTCGGTGGTAGCATTATTGCCAGCGAGTTATCTAGTAGGGTTTCATATGAGGAAAACTATGTATTTTAGATACTCGATAGCCAGAGAATAGAGAGACAACCCTTCGATCATTTGTTACCTTCTTCTCCCATTTCCAAAACAGTCTAACAAATACCAATGATCAAAATCTGATTTTGTTTTCACATTTTGCGCCAGCTTTACTCGATCTTGTCGTGGTCATGATGGGAGTTGCAATTAGACCTTCATATAGACTGGACCGGGTTCTAGATTGTTTGGTTGTACTCAAGGAAATTGGAGCTCACACATTATGGCTCTCTAGATTCTCAACTTGTAATACTAGTAATATTCCTCATACTTTTTATGATTGTCTTGATATGATCATAATGATTTGACAGCGCTGATTTTTCGCCTTCTTCATTTATCTCTCTGACTAATTTTATACTCTACTCGTGACGGGATAAGCCCGTGAGGTTGGATTTGGCTGCGTCAGGACAAATGCGCGCGACATATGCCCTACAATGCTAGTAACTACAAAGATAACCTTGACAAGTCTGGTAGTTAATGCCATGGCCCCAAAAATAATGGCATTGGATAAGGTATAATTTAGTGCAGGAAGGAGTAATGCTTTCGATATATTCTGCAACTTAGAGTAATTACCTAACTTAAACTTCCGACTTGCACTGTTGTCTACTATTAAATGATCGCGTGATACTCCTATTTCTAACTCCAAGTACCTCGCTAGTTCGATCATCTCTAAGTGTCATTCTTTATTATTTGAAATATATCATGTAGAGACATGATTTATTCGCGAGTTGATATTGTTCAAAGGATCATGACTATGTCACAACATCGTGTGTAGACACGATTAATCGTTTGTAATTGTTGTATCAACCATGACTATATCTCCGTGATAGGAAAAACTTCATTGAATAGTTACTAGTGTTGAGCGGAGTGGTTTGCAAAAGCTTGTGGCTGTTGGGCACAGATTATATCACTTGGCGAAGCGGGTGGTAAAGTAAAGGAGTCTGTAAATCTGTCATGGTGAGTTTTTAATTACTCCCACTAGGATACAGAGTTCTATATAAACTATATTTTGTAATAATAAAATCTAGTGGTTGGTATTTACGTCAAAGCGCATTAATACTAACCTCACAATTAATGGAAGATTAGTGACATGTATTCTACACATCCCTGTCTTTACCATAGTTGGAAGCACCAATTTCAACAACTAGAACCCTAGTCAAAATCATAAACACGCAACTGAGACTAGGAGAATTTACTGAGTAAGTAACCATTCTGATGAATCTAGATCTGGAGGAACATAATCTGGCTGGTACGCTCGAGGTATATGAACCTGATTATATCATGTACAATTAAGAAAATATGGAAACCTATCTCAATCACAATCATCATCTTAACTCATGTCACCATCAATAGCTGCAAAGGACAGTTGAACCTTTTCCTTCTAAAACACTAGCCATTATAAAGGTAACCTTGGCAGACGGAAATCTCCACTTCTCGCGCATACCGTAGCAGAAGGCCTAGCTCAACAGCTTCAAAGGGCTACAGAATGAATATTTCGCACCTAAAGCGAAATTGATTGACGTGTATGTCTTTACCTCATACCCGATCTTCATCATTGCAGTATATCTATAAAAAAGGAAAAATATACTTTTTGAATCAACATGCTGATAGAAGTTCAATTTTGGGATACTAGGGAAAATCTGAGCTGCTAAATCTCACAAGGAGTTAATATCGGGTGTTTTCCGGCATAAAACCTTGTCCTTGGATCGCATTATGCTATCATGTTATCTTAATTGCTAGTATTGAATATTATACGCGCCGAGAAGATTAAATTTAAAGATAGAAGATAGATAGGTGAGAAAACGGAAAACTTTGGTTTGATAATCATGATAGTTCTAGAAGTTCTATTTCTCTCTCCCTTGAAATAAAGTTCGATAGGTAACCTGCAAAATCTTGAGAGTGACGAAATATTATTCCCAAGGCTGTCCTTCAATTTCACGTTCCCAGTCTCGATTGAATACTGCCCATCCCCCTTGTGGTTCTTCCATCAACTTCAGATCGTGCACTACCAAGTCATACACGCCCTCGGCTGGCAGTCGATCTTGACAGACATTACCTCCCATAGCCACGTTCAAGATAATCTGAAAGTCCCGCATAGGTCGAATGCCATCTGGGATGCTAGCACGCATGACAGGACACTCATCAATATACCACAACATCCGACCCCCCACACCACTGGGTGCCTGCTCCCACACAAAAGAATATTGGTGTATGACTGGAGTTTCGTGTAGAGATGTCTTAACAATTCTATGTTTTTCCTTATCCTCATCGTTGTATTGGCCCCAATGAATGCAGCTATGGTTTAGTGGATTTTGGTTCCACCATTCACATATTTTAACTTCTCCGTCTGTAGGCCAATTATAAGGTCGGGCCGGTCGTAGCCAAAATGCAGGCCAAATGCCCGTCGCACATGGAGTCGTTATCCAAGCCGTCACACAGCCTTTGTCACGTGCAAGTGTCGGCCGCGATACGAGATAGGCCGACGTGTATTTATTCACGGCTGAACCTGGCTGAGAAATGGCGCGTACGATGAGTTTGTGGTCGGGCGTGAAGAAGGAATTCTTCGGAGAGGTCGTGTATAGTTGTGATTTATCTAGCCGACAGGTACCATCTCCTGTCTCTTGCACAAAGTACTTCTGCACGGATTGGTCGGAGTGAAAATTGGGATGCCAGTAGATAGTATTAGGTTGGCTTACGGTTAGAACTTTCTGCTCGGTGGCTCTGTCAATGGGTTCCTGTGCAGCTGTGTTATACCAAATGCTGGCTTTTATGGCTTGGATGATTCTCCTTAAAAAGCTACTAATAAGCATCTTGATTGAGGCCTTTCGTCGCTACACCGTAAGCTACTAGAGCAAATAATTAATGGCGGCCGGGTCTCTCTGGAAGATTTAACAATCGTGACTCCAATGTTTATTATTTTCCCAGACAAGGAGCCGACCAATTGCGGCATTTGTGGTGGCTAAGCCTCTCCGGATTCACTGAATCTTCTTTGATGAAAATAGGCGCAGTAGCTTTCAAGCTCTTTGTCACTAACTTTGCAGTCGCCCCGTATTTTCAGATATTTCGCAGCCCTGAGACGCGCCAAAATGTCTGTTCTGGCAGGAGGCAGTGAATGTTATGAGGTGAGGACAACCGGTTTTACGCTCTAAGAGCCAACGTAAGTCACTCATCTCGACGCGTTGATGAGCGAAGAATAATAAGAATATCATTGGATTCGGAAATATTGCCTATTCTAGCATTCATTTGTTTTCCATCAAGAGCTTCATGAGTACTAGGCGAATTGTTTTTTTTAGCATTTGATAACTCAAACTGCGCCAGAATTTCGACTTCCTAGGGAAGATTGAAGACATTGAGCGCAAGTGATCAAAAAGATATGAGGTCGTTGTGTATAGACTGTGACCTACTCAACGAAAATAAAAAGTAGCCCATGCACCGATTTTACCGTAAGCAGAGCCCAAAAAAGAGATTTGTTAAATGATCATATAGAGTCTATGGCTGAAATGACGCGTTTACATCTTCGCATTTTGGCGAACTTAGAATTTCAAGTGTAAGGGAGAATATGGATAACTATGCCATGCGAGTCCTATTTGGGACCTTGAGTATAGGAGTAAGAGATCCAACTACTAAAATCCACATTTTGCTGAGTACTACGATGTGATATGAAAGGTATTCTGAAGAAACATTGAATTTGAGAATAAGCAGGGGTGAAGCGGCAGTTGGGCTATATGATGGGAGACACCACTCGAGGCAGGGGAAAACCTCGACTGATTGAGGTAGCTATCTCAGTGAAAATGTGCTAGGTTTTCGTCGTATCTTTAAAAACATATTTGGTAAAATTCTCAGCCCTCTTTCACGCCACGAGCGCGCTGGTGTTGTACATCTTACCCTCAAACTGGCTGCAAGTACTGGTCTCTTTGAGCGATGTGCCAAGGAGATTGTGTTTGCACGCCTTTTGGTGACTTGTGGATACTTCAAAGCGCCCACATTTTTCTTTTAAGACGTCCTTTAGTGATGGCACCGACAGAAGGGTTACGATGTTTGCGATCGATCTGCAGCCGAAGTGGCAACGAGGCCATGCAAGCTGGGCCTTTAGACCAAGATGAACTACGTCGTCAGCAGTCTAAGACCCACCCCGAGACATGACCAAATTGTCATGAGTCTATCGGACTCAAGAGTATGAGTCAGTCAATAGTCCAATCACGAATGGGTGGTGTTGTTTTCCTGCGTAGCACTGCTTACCTGATGTTCGACTATTGAGCCCAAAGGAATTTTCAGCAAGTGGCCAAATCTGTCTTCCTTGAGACGAGGCATTCGAAATGGGTTTCAGGGTATGAGCCCGACAGTTTAGATTGGCAATTGACTGCATGGATACGCCATTAGGAAATACTGCAGCAATATAGTATCGTTGCCAATCTAGACTATCGGGCCTCATCATGCCTGAGCCGCTCAGTAATCCTCAGCCGTGATATCAGATTCCTGTCTTCATCGCATTAAAGGACACCATCTCGACACGATGTTCGTCTTTCTTAATGGACGAACATAAATTGATTACATATTCACGGCATATGATCCTTGTCCTTAATAAATACTAAATAACTTTTCTTAAAATTCAAGAAACTTGAGCTTTGCACTTCTTCTACAAACGCAACTGTGAGGTGTGGTTTCTCAGACAGCAAGATCCCGTCGATGAGTTTTTACGAACAGAAATATGTTTTGAAATTACCTATTCACTGTTGAGAAGATTTGCTGCAGCGACTTTGTTTATCTGGTATTTTGAATTAAAGTTTTCTTTGTTAAAGAAGGATTCGTAGCTTATTTATATTTTTAGTATACAAATTATGGACATGCATTTGGACTACTCAGATGCGATATTGATATATTAGATTTACATGAACTTTGACGTGACCCATTGCAAGTATGTAAAAGCTTATTAATTGATTGATTGGATTGTTGTCCTTCTGAATTTAAACCCCAGTAGGTTATAAAATGTGATGTCTTATTTTTGAATTCATTTACACGCTTCCTTTGTCTAATAATGGACATTGAGGATTTTACCCCACAATTATTGCAGCACTGCCAAAGAAACTTTAATCTTGCAATCAAGATTTAATTTGATATATTATTATCTTTTCTCAGTCCAAGGCCACGTAGGACACCTCAGACTTTTCGACTTATAGGCTAAGGAAGTCCATACATTGTGTTGTATATGCGCTCCTCTAACTTCCTACCTCATTGGCCTAACAAGAAAGATGCATGGTCGTGTTTTTATGATAGAATACTCTCAATAGAGAGTACATACTGCAGAGTAATCTAGCCTAATTTCGTATCATTCGGTGTATCGAATTAGCGACGTATACCGTAGACTCAAGAACATAAGAAGCCCTCCTGGCTAGAATATAGCTTAATCTAGGCTTTGCCAAATCAATAGTGAGGACTGCATGTTCGAGGCGGATACCGTCAACAGCAATTAGAGTATCCACGCTCTAAGAAAGCGGATATTGATGCTCATCGAGATTGGCTTTGATGCAAGCCCTGAGGCATAGAGTAGACGAAAACGTCATTGTGGGCCGGAATTGAGTAAACTGCGACATTTAACTGAATAGAGTCGGGAAAATATTTCATCCCAAGTTTCGAAGGAATAATGCTGTCTAGTTTTCAGACAACTAGCTCTTTTATGTCAAGACGAGATGGTCCTCGCGAACTGATGGGGTTTGAATCGATGCGCATCCATAGCGATTCACAGACAAAGACAGCCCGGATAAAGCCGGAACTTGATGAATCCTGTTGGCAAGCAATGTCCCGGTAGAACTAGCCATGGCCGCTCCCATCGCGAAGGCGCTAGCACGAAGTGCATTTACAAACACATTTCTCCTACCACGCACAGTTTTTGCCGTCGAAATGAGCCCCACTACTGCGAAGCCAAGGCAAAGCGCGACTTCGGTTCAGTGAGCCAGGCAATATTCCAAGAATCCGGACACCTGCCGATGGAACATTCTTTTTCTGTCTGTGGGCTTGACAGCTACTAGATTTTGAGGATTAAACGCTAGAAAAGACCCATGTCAATGTAAGACATGGCTGTTCGCCTTGTTGCTTTACGTTGAATTTGATGTTTTCCAATTTTGGATCCATTCATTATACAAACGTATTACTTGAGAGCATAGCATGGTGCAAACGAGCAAGACGCGAGCGGGGTGGTGGTGCATGCCGGCTCCATCGGCCCTGCAGCAAAATTAGGCTCACAGCTCTAGAACATGGATCGAGGGTAGATTGTTAATTTCAATACTATATAGATCGATACTATTGGCTACCCAGCTGAAAGAGCCCACAATTCACTGGGCCTCCCGCTAACCATGCCCGTCGCAGCTAGCCGGAACAGTCTGCAGGCAAATCATTATGCGTATACAAGTTTACTCCAACACTATTAGTTCTACATGTTCGCTTCACGATCTGAGAAAATGCGTTGATTAAGTCTTTGAATTCCCGCGAAACCACGACAAGTTTTCATGTCGACCGAGCTCTACGGCTCTCGTACAAATTAATCTCCCTCAAGAACACACCTGGTGCTAGAACTCACACTGACGAGTAACTCATCATGTTACGACGTCTTCTCAAAAAGCTTCTTCGAAGAATTAGGAAGAAGTTTTTCAATGTGCCGGAGCCCAACGCTGCAGCTAGCGATCCTCCGCCGGTCAACCACTCGAACAAGCCAGAAACACAATTCAACCCGAATCCTCAGTGCGATACCGACAATCATGAGCCCAACCATCACCAAGGTGTTCACCACCACGAACCTATTCTACCCTATTGGAAACCCCATTTTGATCCATCAATACCCACTCACACATACTTTGAACAAGAAACTGGCGCCAACGGCTGGGGCAACAACGAAGCACAAATGTACACACAAAATCTAGCGAATTGTTTCTTTACTTCCGATAACAAGCTTGTTGTGCGCGCCATTTCCAAGCCAGACGCAGCTGAAGATAAGTACACTTCAGCACGCCTTGTCTCGCGGCAAACTTTGGCGCGGGACCGAGGGTGTGTGACGGCTAGTTTGACCGCTCCAAGTGCACCAGGTATTTGGCCAGCTTTCTGGATGCTGCCGTCCAAGCCAAGTACTTGGCCTGTAGACGGAGAGGTGGATATCTGTGAACTATGGAACGGAAATGCCATAAATCACAGCTGCGTTCATTGGGGCCACTACAACGATCAGGATAAGGAGAAGCATCGTGTCGTCGAAACAACTATGAACGCTCCTACAGCCTTGCACCAATATTCTTTTGTGTGGGAGCAGGCACCCAGTGGTGTGGGGGGTCGGATGTTGTGGTATATTGATGAGTGTCCTGTCATGCGTGCTAGCATCCCAGATGGCATTCGACCTATGCGGGACTTTCAGATTATCTTGAACGTGGCTATGGGAGGTAATGTCTGTCAAGATCGACTGCCAGCCGAGGGCGTGTATGACTTGGTAGTGCATGATCTGAAGTTGACGGAAGAACCACAAGGGGGATGGGCAGTATTCAACCGAGACTGGGAATGCACGGTTGAGGGTCATCCCATGACATGAGCCGCCTAACTCGACCTATTTTACTTGTACCGATACATATGCCATGCCTATAATAGCTGTTTGAATTTGTAAACTATTGACCATTCTCTGTCTGAGACAATTTACGACATACCGCACATCTTTGCCTACCGTGCAAGGAAGCCCGCGCTTCGAACAGTTATCCATTCTGCCTTGTTTATAGTCTCCGTCAAAAGATTAAGATATCTTCAAGTGATTAAAATATCTTCAAATATCTTTTAATCACGTACTTAATCAGGTGTTTTATCATCTATAAATGCCCCTACTCTTACATACTAAACAAAAGTCCTCTGCAGGTGGATGGCAGGCGGGAAAATTTGCAAAGGCCATTAGGCGCGGGGCTCTCCTAATACCGACATTAGGACTAAATCCGAAGACATAATGACCTTTCTGAAGCGTTCGAAGAGGCTGGCCAGTTGGGCGCTGCAGACTTGTGGGTATCTCAGGGAATTGTCACTCTACATTTCTAGCCTCTTTCCCACCTTTCCAGAAGGTCGCGCTGAGATGCCAGAAAGGTCTTGACAGAGCGTGATTGCTGTATAGTAGCTTAGCCTGACTTCTTGTGTGCCGTCTAGGGTCCTAGAGAAGTACCGTTGACTCATCGACAATTGAAGTCCCCCTGGCTAATTTATCCAAATCTCGGTCTTGGCGCCCACAAACGTTTCAAAAATGAGAGCCCCTCGAAATTGCCAGTCATAGCATGATCTTCAGAGACCTCTTTCCCCTCTCGCTCCACATCTCAGCCGCCTGTTCTTCCTCAAGTTGTTTGTCCCATTAGAGCAATAGTCCTCCATAAGCAAGTACCCAGGCTTTGCATACATCAACTTAATTTCCTCCTTGCGGGTACAAATGGCGTCGTAAATTTGTAGCTGGATTTCGCTGGTAGTTAATGGGGCAGGTACCCGCTTGCAGCATAAGAACCTCCTTTATCATTGACGAGGCAACAGATGTGTGGCTAGAAGTAGAGGTGTGCTTGTGTCTGCTTCTTACTTCAATGCGGATGCGATTCTTATTGGCTATCCCAGACAGGGAGAGCATAATGAGAGATTACACCGGCACCACGGGAGGGTGATGAATCTGTCTTTGCCAGGTTTTAGCTTGAGAATATTGAATGAAGAAATTATCTATCTTTTCCGTAAGGTTCTGGCCACATGTGATTGATGGAAGTCTGGGTTTATACGTAGCAACTTGTATTTAACACCCTCTTATAACTTCCTGTATTATAAGCTTTAGGAAGTGAGTGAGAGAAGTAGAGATATAAGATAAGAATTTTATTATAATCCTTTCTGAGTCTAAGACTATGTAGGACTTTTAGAATCTACCATTTAAATTCTGGCTACTATTTCAATGTTAAAATTAAGTTATTTAATGTGTTCCAATAGATGTTGAGGGTCACGCCCTGATGAAGTAGAGATATAAGCCTGCCTGGTCACAAAATTTGGTTTCCCCCCTTGGTCATTTCTGTATGAAACCGTCTCACATCGGGTAGCTGATAGATTGCCCTTAACCCAATACTTATCTTTTGTTACTAATTTATGCGTACAAGAAGTTGATCTTCGTAAGCATACAAATATTGTCCCAGATCCCCCAGCACACTTTAGCCATATCCTATGCTGATTTCTTGTAGAAATCCTCGCTGACGAAAGAAGCTGAGCTAACTCGTGAAATTGGAAGCAATTTGACACGTGTAGCTTATATATCTTGGGCGATGAATTTGCGTTGCTCTAACTAGACGCATAACAATCGTCATCTAAGAAATATTTGCATAGTGAACGGCCCCTAGAATTCCGATAATGAAAACATCGGTAAATGTTGAGCTTTACAAATTTTCAGAGTGTTTTGTGAGAGTTATTTCTATTTTAAAAAGATATTTTGCGGTCTGTTTTTAATCGCTGGCGCGACATCTCACTACTGGGGTCTGAATAGCTACGCCGGTGGAAATAAACGCCGTGCTAAATAGTGTTAGATATCCTTCACCATTACTTGTTTGTGAGCCAATATGTCTGGTTTAGTCTAGCGTAAATGCACGACGTTCATGTAACGGGTGACAGAATTCAAATATGGTTGCTGGCTGGTGGAAGGCTGGATTGAAAGAAATCGGTAGGTCAGAGCTGATACATATTTCTTGTTGTTGGGCAGTTCCTACGACAGGGGTTGAAGCTTTGTTTACTTCTTGTGTCACAATCCCATTCCCGCTTATTTACTGGAGACATACCCAACTTGCGGATCGAAGGCAAAAGCACTCGCATCAAATAAACATTAAAAATTTTTCAAGCAATATCATAGTTAACACATGGACGAGAAATATGGCGCCTATCTCTGAGCAGCAATTGCGCTATTATCTCTCATCCCTCCTCAAACGATCTTCAGGCGCTGCTCCCCATCCTGTCACAACCTTCCATTCACGAAGCTTACCAAACCTAGTCCCACGAATAACTCCATTGCATCCTGGCGTCGGCGTGACTCCGCCAGATACCATTCCAAACAGACTTATCTTCATCATCTTTGGCCTCATTGGCATGAGCTTTGTCTGCATCGGGTGTTGGTTCTTTTTCTATGCCGAAAACGGCGGATTTCAATTCAAGGAGACAGATTGGGAAGACTATAAAACAGCAGTATTAAGAAGGAAAGGCCCGAATGGTACTACGCTAAGTGGAGGTACTGTTGTTACCGATCTTGGGGGTAACAGTATTGTACACGATGAAAAGAGTAGTATATGGGGTCGAAAGAAAAAGAAATCTAAATTATACTTAAATCATGATGACATGAGCAGCCAGACAAGTCTAGCTGGTGTTACCATTGTCACCGAGGATATAGAAGAGACAGCTCGCTCAAAGCATGAGGCGCGAAAAGAGAGGAAAAAGAAAAGAAAAGAGAAAAGCAATACCAAAAGTGTGAAGGGAGATCAATACGATGATACGACTGATAGTGAATATGACGATCTAGCTGCTTACCGTCATGAGAAACCAGCGCGTGTGGGTGGCTTGAACAAAGAATCTGACGCTAGCGCCTTCGATAGCTCAGCCAACAACAGCTGTATAGCTTCTACCGAATTTCTATCTCATCGCGAAGGTACGCCACCAACCACAGTGGCGGAGTCAAGAAAACATAACCCAAAATTGCGTGGTGGCGCGATTCGAAAAGTTATCAGCACAAGCGAAGGTGGCCATTCTACCAAGAGCGAAAGTACAAGCCGTCATAGAAGCCGTAAATTGTCGACAGTACCGGAGAACAAACTTCCAAATGATGTCAAAAAAACACAAGATAAGAGACGAGCAGCTCAACGGCGAGATTTCAGCTTCCAAGCCGGTGATGATCGAACAGTTCTATCTTCTACAAGTCATTCTTCGAACCGCGACGAACGAGAGCATCGCCGACAACGAAGCCGTGGTACAGCTAAGGAAAGCCAACTAAGAACGTATACAGAAGAGAGTGAAGTAGGAAGTATCGTAAACAGCGAAACAGGAACCAAAGCATATCATCATCCTATTCCAGAACTAGCCAGCAGCGTCAGTACAAACGATTATGCAGAGCAGAGGCGTAATAAAAGGAAAAACTTAGGAGGAGTGGGGGCATAGTATAGAGGGATGAATGAGTAGATGAGAATTATGTTACAGCTCACGAAACCTCAGTCAACGTTGGTCCACTTGTATCATACAAGTATTGGTTATCAAGACTTTCGCTCAAATTACGATTTTCATGCGGTAGGATAACTATAGAGATGGGGTGTGATGATAGAATTTAAAGACCAGATCACTAGATAAAGCGAGATAAGATGTTATTAAAATAAAGCGCCGTTGTTTCTATCCCTTTCCTTCCATTCTTCACTGCCATTATTTCGGGTGGCTTAATACCTGAGTTTGATTACTGTTGTTCTTTGTAATCGCGTGCATTCCCTGCTTTAGGTTGCATTCTTTTTAGTTTATGGAACAGGGCAAGGCCCCGATATTTGTCAGAATGAAATGAGCTAGATATACTGATATACCAGCCAGAAATTAAAAGTTTATTATGTAGCTATTTTAACAGTCGTAATCTTTATATATCTAAGCACTTGTCAATCCTCAATGATGCTCACTAACGGGGCTTTGCTCGGCATATGGTTATTCTGGGTATCCATACTCTTTCTAATTTCTGTGTGGCGACGTAAATTGTGCCTCTCTTCAGATTAGATATTATTTAAAATTCACCACAACAATCCAAAATTCTAATCCTAGTCCTAACATCATGTCACTTGAATTTGATTCCAGATAACCCGATCAGGCATCCCATGGGTCCATGCAGGTGTCTATCTGCATTATTTACCCGGGAGGAAACCAATTTGGTGAAAATCCCCTGATCCTGTCTTTTTATATTCCTATCGATTAATTTAGTTAACCTTCAGGAAGTGCAGTGTACACTGTTCAGCCAGTGTGGATTCCGTACTCTCCCCTTCCAGATCTATTTATTTTTTCCGACATTGATACCTCGACTTCCCCTGCAAGTCGAAACTGTTTTATCTACCCTTTGCTTAGTATCCACATTGATAGCTTGGCTTTTCTTCTCCGGCTACTTTTCTTCTGCACAGGCAAGAATTGAGTCCGATATGCTCGATTCTTAGCTGAGTGGCGACACTGCTTTGGGCCCTGGTCAGAATACGGTGGATTTTTAAGGGTGTATGTTTGAAGTTCATTTTGGTGCTGCCTGTTTGTTCATCAGTAAACATATTTGCCGCTTTACAATGACCTGGATCGGCTGATGCTGGTCAGCCAGGGCGGTGTTTCCTGATCTGGCTTGTCCATGAATCTTTCCACTCCTGAAAGGCCGCTATATTTCCAGCTTCTTTCTGCCTTCTATTGTCCTTTTCCCTTCCGTAAGTTCTTGTCCATTCGGCGATACCTTTACCCTTGGTCAATGCATGCGGAGATTCTCTCCCGTTTGCGGGCAGCTTTATCCTCTTGCATATCGATCGGATTGTTTCTTGAACTGGGAGGTTATCTGATAGTCCGGCGTGCTGGACCCTCTGTTTCAGGTATATCTCTATAGGGAGGACGGACGATTCGTGCTTTAGCACTCTGCTACTAGTAGTATCGTAGGCACCTGCGACAAGCTTTAAGCAATTTCTTTGAATACTTCTGAGGGTTTTTCTATCATGTCACTTAATAATCACTTCATTGTCATTTATTTTATTTTCCACATGTGTTCCAAGCGAACATCAGTCTCCGGAAGCAAAGTTACTATATATTCTTGATACAAATGCAAATCGGTATATAAGGCAACGTGGCGGAGTGGTTATCGCGCTAGCCTAGAACTTTAAACCGAAAGCTAGTTCCCTCGGGAGCGTCAGTTCGAGTCTGGCCGTTGTCGGCGTCTCCTTGCCCTGATCCAAGTTTTACGACAAATTGTTTTTGCTGTAATTTTTATTAGCTCCTATGAAGATATACATGCATCCTTCGATAGAATCAATATTGATCAATGCCACTATTCTCTCAAAACAAAATTAAGACCATAAAAGCTGACAGACAGATTCTTCACCCTCCCGTGGTGCCGGTGTAATCTCTCATTATGCTCTCCCTGTCTGGGATAGCCAATAAGAATCGCATCCGCATTGAAGTAAGAAGCAGACACAAGCACACCTCTACTTCTGGCCACACATCTGTTGCCTCGTCAATGATAAACGAGGTTCTTAAACTGCAAGCGGGTACCTGCCCCATTAACTACCAGCGAAGTCCAGCTACAAATTTATGACGCCATTTATACCCGCAAGAAGGAAATATACAAAGCCTGGGTACTGGCTTGTGGGGGACTGTTACTATAATGATGCTGTATATATTGATGAAGGACATGCGACTGAGGCGTGGGGAGATATAAGGAAGAGACCTCCTGTGGGAATAATAGGTCTGATATTTTCGACTTTTGAACGTTTGGGGGCGCCAAGATCGAGATTTCGGCAAATTGGCTAGGGAGACATCAATTTTCGAAGAGTCAACGGCACTCCCCAGAGCCCTGGACGGCTCAAAAGAAGTTGGGCTAAGCTATAATACATCAATCACGCTCTGTCAAGACTTCTCTGGCAGTTCAGTAAGACCTTCTGGAATGGTGGGAAAGAGGCCCGAAATGCAGAGGGTGAATTCATCGAGGTACACACAAGTCTACAGCTGTTATGATATGGAAACACACTAGTCTTACTGTGGACAGACAAGGGTACGCACGATAATGTTGGGCTCAACATTGTAAGGAAAGAGTGGCTCGGGGTCTGGCTCGATTCCCAACTGACGTTTAAACAACATGTTCAAGAATGGTGTAATAAGGCACAACGACTATCTCACTTTATACGAAGTATTAATAGGGTCCAACGAGGTGCGGCTCCGGGACCATTAATCCGTGCAGTGAACGCATGTGTAGTCAGTACGGCAATTTATGGCGCTGAAGCTTGGTGGCCTGGACTCACCCGTATCACGACGGTACGAGATAAAAGAGTAATTACGGGTGTCGGAACGCACCTCAAGTTACTAGATAGAACTATTTTGACTGCTGTTTGAGCCGCACTGCCAGTGTGGCGAACTACACCAAATATAGTTCTGCACCGTGAGTCAGGGATACTACCGGCAGAAATTATGCTACAGCAGCGACAGCTCCGAAATGCAGCCAGAATCCGCAGACTCGACAGCTATCACCCTTTGTCGTCAAGGGCAGCTGAGACACCAAAGGAAGCAAATAAGCGACTCAAACTGAGAGAGGGGCAAAAAGGTCGTGTCTTCAAGTTTCCAGAGCGATATCTGACACGCCTTCAGAATGGTAACCTCAACCCTACCGGCATCAGAAGGGCCTGGACAGCTTTACCAACCGATGATCGCGAGGGCTATGGCTAGAGCCAAATGCGACAAGGAGGAAAAGTCGAAGCGGACTAATCATTGGCTTAGAAATCTCCCTGTAGGGACGCTGTGTGTATATTCTGGTGGGTCATCGACTGGTCCAGCATACTCAGCCTATGGCTATGCTATATACAGGGACAGAGAACTCATAGCGAGTGGTGGAAATTTTCTCCCAGGAGCAGAGGTCTTTGATGCAGAAATCGTCGGGGCAGTTCGAGGCCTAGAAGCGGCGTCGGAAATTGGAGGTAGTATAGGTATCAAGGTGCTCCTCGACAATCAAGAGGCGGTAAGAGCCCTTGTGAGTGGTAGAACGAGCTCTTCACAGTCTGAGGTCCGGAATTTTATTGAACTATCCAAGGCTCAGCCTGCCGTAGAATTCCACTGGGTTCCGGGACACAGTGGTGTTGAAGGGAACGATAAAGCCGACGCAATTGCAAAGGCAGCCCTTGCATCAAAAACCAGGGAAGGAAATATCCCGAGACCAGAGTGCACTCAGGAGGAATCTGACAAAGTCCTGAAATTCGCAGCACTTAAACGCCAAGTCACAATACGAGTACAGAAACTCGCGGAAGATTGGTGGCATAAAAATAGATCGGACAGGTATGAAGATCTGGACTTACTGATGCGAAGAAAACGCCCTCCGGAGCTAGCTTTACCTCGATGGGCATATCACCGCCTCATTGCGTCAAGGACTGGGCATGGTGATTTCGCTAGCTATCACAGACAATTTCAACATCCGAATGAAGAAATGCGATGCAAATGCGGACGAGAGAAACGGCCATGGCATTTTGCAGAGTGTCGCCCGACCATCCAGAAATGGAGGACGGAAACGAAGGAACCACGACCTACGACAAGGGATATGATAGGGCAAGAAAGATGGCAGATTATCTGGCGCTTTCTAACTGTAACAAAATGTTACAGAAAAATTGAATCATAAACAGGGAACTTGAATGTCAGCTGTATTGCTTCTTAGGGCCGCTCAGTGTGGCACGAGGATGGAGGTGTAGTGCAGGGCGCTAGCACCTCAGAAATGGTGTTTTTTTGTTTTTATTTGTTTTGTTTCTGTATTTCTGGCTCCTATGAACCAATCATGTAGGTAGCGAAGAGTCTTATATAGATCTGGACTACCCGTGCCATGCCACCTGGGTGCTGGGTCAGTACCCGGTCACGATAAAAATATCATTATCATTGTAAAGAAAGAGCACTGAGAGACTGGCTCGACCACCGTAGCGCAGAATACATTATTCTTCCCTAGTACGTAGTTAGTAGGATACTTAGTTCACACACACACACCTGTCATTAGGACTATTACACACACCTACATTCATATATCCACTTACTCTTATATTATCTTTCTCCATTTATTACTTGAGTTACTCATCGCATCTCTTAGAGCCCACACACGTGCTGTAGCCAGCACGTCACCTCAGGTATCACAATTATACCCCATAACGTATAACCATAATAACAGCACCCAGCTGACTGGCCTCTTCGAATGCTTCAGAAAGGTTACTGTGTCTTCGGACCTAGTTCTAATGTCGATATATAATAGCCCCGCATCCAGTGGTTTTTACAAATTTTCCTGGCTGCCATACACCCGCAAATGGCCATCGTTTCGTTGGCTGGAGAGGGGAGATAATGAAGGGCAAAAAGCTCCTCGAATTGTATGATCGAATGAGGACTTGTGAGGAGCGGTACTATTTGAAGGGAGCTCCATGGGAGGCATAGGAAGGGATATACTACTGGTATAGGTATCCTTGGACTATAGGCGAAGAGGATCTACATGTCCTACATAGTCATAGAATTAGAAAGGACAATAAAATAAATTAAAAAAACTAGTAATAGTCTAGGTAGCTTGGAGGTCTACCTCACTCGAGAAAGGGAGGACTATTAGGCCTTATCTCGCACCATGGCCATATACAAGATGGTAGGGGCATGTTAGGATAGCTGAAGGTTTCTCTGTATTTTCTCTGGTAGATAGTGACAGTTGAGGAAAGGGTGAGAGTCCCTAACACAAAGGTCTCGATCGGTATCAGCGAATGCATCCACAATATGAGTGGTTCAAATCTGAAACTGAGTTGTCTGTGAATAAAATCACCGGGAAAGGACCAGTCTTCTCCGTGTCACGCTCTATAATTTCTAGACTTATGTCAGTCACGAAAAAAATCCATCAGTTTATCCATCCTACATTACTCAAGTGTATATACACAAAGGAAGGGCAGTCTTTCCGTAAAAGGCTAGGTTGAGAACCTGAGTGATCTAATTACAGTATGAGATTAAGTGAATAACGTCTACATAAACCGCGTAAAGTATGCGGAGCCCATGCGGCACCAAGCATCCGCTCAACAACAGCACCATAATTGGAGGCGTCCCTTCAAATGTTTAGACCGCCCACATCGAATTACGAGGTGCTCTATATTTTCCGGCTCTTGTGGTTCTAGTCTGATTGAAGGGGGAGTTAATGAAATACGCTGATAGTTATAGATTAATAGTTAAGAGGTACGCCCTCTGCATTGAGCCAGGTCGGTTGAGAGTGGCCAGACATTGGGATTTGAATGTTAAAAGCTTTTTCCCTAACCACGGCGACTTATCGTCTACAGGATTATGTAAAAAGATAGCGTATAGGATGTTAAACGAGGAAAAATCGATTACAAAAATGAACCATAAATCACCTTGAAATAGTTTGAGGCGGTCGGATGGTTCGCTGGCACACCGTGCGTGCCATCGTCCGGGATAGATTCCGGACAGCTTCTTCGAACACGCCAGTTAAAAACATGAGAAAACAGGATCGAGTCCATCAAGACCTCATAAACCATTGCAGATTGGTGGGTGTGTAAGTGGTATACACTTTGGGGTTTCAACCGAATGAGGAATCTATGCTTCGAGGGTTTAGAGAATTCTTGGATAGGTTTGGCTAGTTATCTGAAGTGACGCGAAGGTTATCTCAGTCCATGATATTTTATATTATTGTATTCTACTGTTCCACACTACAAGAATGTATGGACAATAATGTCACGAGACCTAATGTACCGAGTCTCGCTTGGGTATTAAACCTTACTGGGTTGGATGGTGTAGTGGTACACCATTCGGGCCGTTCTCCCAAGTAGACTCTGAGTAGCTTGAACACCAACCCCATTCGAGACATGAGAACTAGATTAGATTGGATTTGTATTATAGTCCTAACCGAGTCAATGACTATGGAGGACTCCTAGAATCTACAAATGAGATACTAGCTACATGTTTTAAGTTTCAATCGTTTAACTTTACGCTTTGCTCATTAGGGCAAGACCCTCAGTATCTATTGGTACATATTAAGGAAATCAATTGTCAAAAAGACTATTAAATTTTAAAGTTATTTTGTTTTCTTTAGCAGTCCTTCATAGTCATAGACTCAGTAGGGACTTAAATTGAATTCTATTCTATTCTATTACGCTTTGCTCTCAAGGACATGGAGGGACAAGCCCTGTCGAGACAGGAGAAAGCTTGTTCAAATCCGGTAAAACCCACACACTACTCTCTCTCGCGGTGATATCGTACTTATGGGTTGATGAAAGCATACTCAGATAGCCACAGGGTTTTCACGCTTTTCCCTATGGTGGGTATGCACGGAAGAGATTATACGCCGTAAGGGTTGACCCCGAGTGGTATCTGCAAATGAAATCTGAGTGTGACTGTACTTAACGTCAGATTTAGTCATCCTACTTAAAGTACATATCTTCCCATAAACCTGCATGGGCTTCAAGGCGCCAAATCAGGAAAATTGAATAATTTATTTATTAACCCTTCCTTCTGCAATCATCCGCGTCTCGTCACGTGGATAATACACGTTGCGTTTATACATGCCAACGACTTAGTAAGTTGGTTCCAACAGTTCACTAGGACTGCAGTGTTCGCGTAGGAGAATGTCTAGTTGAGCAGCGTTAAATTATTACGCACAAAACCCCTGGATGAGATGAGCCAAAGCTGGGACTGAATGGAAGGGAAAAGTTACAGATGGCGAAGGTGTCAAGGGCTCGGGCGCGTCGTGGCCGAGGCTGAGGAGGAATTTGCGCTTCGGCGCGTCAAAAGAAGGTTCTCTGGACTGTCAGGCTTGACATGATTCAACACATGGGTGAAGTCTGAGGTGGTCCGGTCATTCAGGTGGGACGAGGTAGATGTACTTAATGGTAGTTAACCTGGTCCGGCCCGGTCCAACCCGTGCTGAAGCTCTAGAAGGAGTGAAACGGTAGTCACTTTACCTAGCACGTTAATGAACAGCCAACCTTACGGAGATGTCATTTATATTTTTTTTTTATAATTATTTAACGTCGGGTTAGCTTACAACACAACCTTAAGGTCTCATGTTGGCCAGCTCAGTCTACATAAACTACCCGACGTGTCGATACCTTTCAATAAGCCCAACATGTTATAAATGGGCCAAGGCCTACCTGCCATGCACTCCGAACTATCGAAAGAAGCCAAAAGTACTCTCAAGCTGAGACTTTTGTATTCTAATACAGTAGAGAAGATAGTTATATATATGAAAAGGAAAGTTATCCATCACCTAGACCAGAAGTCTTCTGAATTTAGCTCTAGCAAATACAGGTCAAGTGCATATAATTTGGGGTACTAGTTAGTCTTGTTGTTGCATGCTTCAAAAAAGCACGTTTCATGAAGCCATTTACTAAAAGCTATGGCTCCTTCAGGTGAGCCTAGAATCCAGCGAATTCCCGTCGTTGGGTGTTTATTTCCGCTGCAAAGGCGGGAACGACTCTCATTGAGTCTACAAAAGAAGAAGTGCTCGGGCGACTTTTCTAGCCCGCAAGCGCAGATTAGAAGAGCGCCCGAGTGCTGAAAGCAGCGGTGGTAGTCAGCAAAGTCTCCGTGATTTGAGCAAGCTGCAAGAGGGCGACCAAGAGCGTAGCGGTTAAGGCTCTTGAGTTCGGGGGAGCTTCCAATATTGGCGTTAATTCCCAGTTTTTGGTATCGTTCAGGAGCGTTTTGAGACCAGTACAGGGATACAGAGGCTTTGTATCGAGAGATTATGTCTCTCTTTGCTCGTGAGATTGTTGGAGATAGGGAGAGTGAAGGGGTTGCGCATGTTTGTTTAGCAAGTGCGTCAGCAGCTTCATTGCCCGGTATGCCGACATGTCCTGGACACCATCGCACCCTGACTACACCCGGTTCAGAAAAGTGGCTACGATCTCTCCCTGTCCAACTAGTAGCAAGGTATCGAAAGTAAGCGATACGAGAGGAACTGCTAGGGGAAGGAGTATCTGCAAGGAGACGAAGAGTGGCTTCCTGATTATCTAGGCAAACCGTAATATTTGTGGCGTACCGAGCCATCGGATTATGGAGGGCGGCACTTAGGCCTTCAGTGGCCCCGGCTGTTTCTGCATCGTACACTTCGGCAGATTCTCCGAGAGGAAGGGTCCCCTGCCCAACTATCTGTGTGAGGCCCCGATAGATAACATATCCGGACCCGGCTCTACCCTCTGAAAGGGCACCGTCAGAGGAGACGAATAGATCCAAAAGGGGTTGAGATGCTTGCCAGCTCATGAATTCTTTCCGACCATTTTTTCTGCCTATAGCCCCGATATTTTGTAGAACTAACTCTCGACTGGTATTCCATGGGGGTGGTACTGTATCAGTTGATAGTTCGGGAGATATTCTTTGTCAGATCCATAACATTCGGGAGGAAGTCCAGCGCCGCTGTAAAGGGTGACGTGGGTCTGCTGACGCGACTCGCACTGTGAGGCGGTCGTGTATCCGTCCTAGCCATGAGCTAGCCGTCCCCCATCCGGTCTCTCGAAGAAGGGCAGGAGTCGGAGTCGTTCGGTAGACAGGAAGGACGGCTCTAGCAGCTTCATTAATTCTGCACTGAACACGCCTTATTATGTCCTGTGGGGTACTTTTGGAATACCATGTCTCGGCTCCAAAGAAGAGGATAGCGAAAGCTGTTCCTTGAATAGCTTGTCTAAGAAGGGGAGGGCTGATATCGCGGGTGGTGCACGAGAGTCGTCTAAGATGGCTTATGATAGCTAGAGACTTTCTACAGGTCTCACTAACATGATATCGGAAGCGTAGACTACGGTCGAAGTATACTCCGAGCTAGCGGGTGTATTTGTTGGGCAGTATCTCAGTTTCACCCGTGTAGATTGTTGGCTCTACAACATTGCCACGTTTCTGGTGAAAGTACTGGAGCTCCGTCTTCGAAGTATCAAAAGTGAGCCCATTTTCCCGCCCCCAGGAGAGGGTTTTGTTAAGCTGAGTCTAGAGGAGACAGGCACACAATATTAGAGTAGTCGCGGAAGAGAAATGAGAGATATCATCTGCGTCCCCAAAGCGGCCGCGCGACAGTCGAAGCACTCCTTCGCTTGCCAGGAGAGAGAGAATAGGAGAGACAGGAGAGCCTTGGGGTAGGCCACAGAGGAACTCGAACGATGAAGATGAGAACCCATCTAGGTGTATTCTAGCCTCTCGTTGTTCCATGAAGGAGATTACCCAGAGGACCACGTTAGGTGGCCAGCCCTGATTTCGTAGACAAAGTGAGAGACGCCCTTTTTGGATGCCATCAAAGGCTCCTTGCACGTCTACCGTTATGATTCCTGCTACTTTCTTTTCATCCCAGGCTGTTTGTATATCGCATGCTAGAGCTGTGGTGAGGTCTGTGGAGGAGCGGCGAGGGACTGCACTGCACTGGTCCTTGGCTAAGATCCGATGTTTGAGGGCGACATACGAGAGCCTTCGAGCTATTAGTCGCTCGAGTCCCTTTCCCAGGTAGGAAAGAAGAGCTATCGGTCTGTAGAATGTTGGGAGGGATAAGTCGCGGTTTCCGGATTTTGGTAGTATGATAACACTAGACTTCTTGAAGATAGATGGGTGGGTTCCTAGCTGGTCGCATTGGCGAAACAACGCTATAATCCGCCTTCCTACTATTGGCCAGGCTTGTTTAAGAGCACCTATCGTGATTTCATCTGGACCAGAGGCGGTGGATGTTACCTGGCAGCATGATCGGAATATTTCCTCCTCTGTAAGCGGGGGCCATGGGAGACCTTTTCGGGGTACAGCGGGCGCATCTATCGGGATATCTTGTATACGGAGATGTCGTGATAGTAGTGTGACGAAAGCACACTCAGACAACCACGTGGTTTGCACGACTTTCCCTGCAGTGGGTACGCACTCTAGTGGTCACATGCCACAATGATGAGCTTCGCTGCCCAGTGACGTGGAGAAGGACCTACCAGGTGCCTGGGAGGGGGCCCTC